AACGGTAAACGTAACGTTACGGTTACGTACGTACGTACGTTACGGTTACGGTTACGGTACGGTACGGTACGGTACGGGTGGTGGTCGTCGTCGACGTCGTCGCGCGTCGTCGTGTGTGTGTGTGTGTGTGTGTGTGTGTGTGTGTGTGTGTGTGTGTGTGTGTGTGTGTGGAGAGAGAGAGAGAGAGAGAGAGAGAGAGAGACTTTTAAGTCAGATGCTGCTCTCTCTCATGAAAAATTCACACAAATATTTACAAAGAGACATCCCTTTACTACCAAAATTTCACCTGCCCATTATCATGGATGAGAAGCAAGGTCTAAATAAATTTTCAGAAGGATTTTGCCCTAGAACCGAAACCCAAATTCTTGTTTCACACAAATATCTACAGCAAACAAAGAAAAACAATCCCAATCATTCAGTAAAAAATTGGCTAACATTTTTACATTTCAAAGAGAACCCCAGTAAATTACAACAATGATGGAACTTCTGAGTACAATAATTTTATACTACATTTTCTAAACACATTTCAATGACTAGGGTTTGCATTGGGCTAGGCGACCCAGTATGGTCCTGTTGGCACGACCTTGAAGAACTAGAGCATGGGGCCAAGGTTAGGGTTACAACAGGCCCGACCCAACCCTGTGTTTTTGCTTCTTTTTTCTTTTTTTCTTTTGAGTCTATTAGGCCCTGCCTCGCCCAGCGCAAACCAAACCGGGCCAAAGTCCCAACCCAAACTGGGCCAGAGTCCCTTCGGATGGTCCAGCTGGCCCTATAGGGGCTTAGGCTGGGCTCAGGCCAGGGCTAACCTGGGCCATTGCCAGCCCTAGAAGATGAAATGATAGAATTCTCAGGAATTTTCATTTGTCGAAACACAGAAAAAACTCCCAACCAATCCATAAAAAATCCGCAAAAGTTCATTTTTCAAACAAGATCCATAAATTTCACCAAAATAGTTGAACTTCTCCATGATATTATTTTCCAATAGAAAACTACATCTTTCTTCATAAAATTCAATGAAATGATAGAACTACTCAACGACATCCAGTCAAAGAAACATAGAAAAAAATCCCAGTTAATGCGTAAATTGTCTAAAGCCCCACATTTCAAAGAGCATCCCAATAAATTTCAACAATATAGTGGAACTTATCAGTACAGAAACATTATTTTCCAATAGACAAATACATTTTTCCCCTTACATTTAAATGAAATTAAAGAATTTCTCTGTAATTTTCATTCATGGGAACATAGAAAAGACTCCCAGTTGATCGTTAAGAAATTGGCTACAAAGCCCATGTTTCAAACAAAATCCCAATAAATTTCACCATAGTATTTGAACTTCTCAGCAATATTATTTTCCTACATATAACTATATTTTCTCCATAAATTTCAATGAAACGATAGAATTTCTCAGCAATTATAACTCGAGGGAACATAGAAGAATTCCTAGTTAATCAGTAAAAGATTGGCTAAAACTCCACATTTCAAACACAATACCAGTAAATTTCAACAAAATAATTCAGCATCATGTTAACAATGGTTTCCTACAGATAGCTACATTTTTCTCCGTATGAAATGAAACCATTTCCCTGCAATTTTCATTTAAAGTAAGCAGAAAAACTCCCAACTAATCAGTAAATAAGTAAAAACAGGCTAAAAGTCCCGATTTCAAACAAAATTCCAGTAAAATAGGTCACTTCTCAGTAATATGATTTCATTTAACATTTATTTTACCATAACTCCATTTTTGTCCATATATTTCAATTGAATGGCGAAATACATTTCAATTGAATGGCGAAATATTTCAGAAAGTTTCATTCATCACAGAATAAAAAAACTCCCAATTCATCGCTAAAGCATTTGGCAAAAAGCCAAAAACTCCATTTCTCAGACCAAATCCAAATAAATTTCAACAAATATTGAACTTCCCAGAAATAAAATTTTCCGAGAGAGAGCCCCATTTTTTTTCTATAAATTTCAACGAAACAAAACAAATTCTCTGCAATTTTAATGTAATAATAAAAAATTGATTAAATTTCCACAGTTCAAACAAAATCCAGGTAAATTTCAACAAAATAATCGAACTTCTTAATAACATTAACGAATAACTATTTTTTTTTTCTATGAAGTTCATAGAAATGGTAGAATTTCAAAGCAATTGGGGCGTACCATCATTAGAATCTTAGCCAAGAGAGCAAAACCAACGGCAACGAGGACCATTGGCATGGTTGCAGTGTCAAGATAGGCGGAGGATTCAGGAACATAAACAATAAATTCATTCTTTTTCTCTCTCAACAATAGCTTCTTCTTATTGATCTCTGCAATTCTTCTCTTTAGGGTTTCACTTGGTCGATCTGATTCGGCCCATGTGTGGATTTTACTGAGTTGAAGGAATTTGAGGGCCTTGGAAGCATGGTTCATGGGATTTGCGGGCGGGTTTTACAACAATGGGTTAGGGGTTTAGTGGGTATTTAGGGTTTGAATGTGAGGAGAGAGAGAGAGAGTATCAACAATGGTTTAGGGGTTTAGTGGGTATTTAGGGTTTGAATATGAGAAGAGAGAGAGTATCAATGCGCTCGTTCATTTGCAATTCTGTGTTTCAAAACCTGAGATTTTTAGATGGAAGTTCGTTGGGCCCGAATGGGTTGTTAGATGCTCTTGCTCTTGGGCCGGGTCTAGTTCTCTATGAAATCCCTCTCGTATTTCTATTCTGTATATAATTTTTTGGGTGGGGTTTCAATAAGGTTGCAACCTTAAACAATCCAATTGAGGCGCGCCTCCAACTTTTATTATAACATGTAATTTTAGTATTAAATACTTTTAGGATTATCTAAAAATATATTTTGATCTCTAATTATAAAATTTTATAACTCCAAAAATAGTTAAAATCATGTAGATCTATAAACATGTAAAAATCTTGAAAATGGACGGTCTAGATAATGTGTTGTAAGATGCACTGTTTTTGGGACTCAAAGTCTATTTTTTTTACACATTCATACATCTCGATGTTGAGATGATCAATTAGAGGATCTTTCAACATTAAAACAACCTTTTTTGATGGATTTTTTAGGTGCATCTCTAATTCTACATTTTAAGGTTGCAATCTTATATAAACATTTCCCTAATTTTTTTCTTTTTTAAAAATTGGAAAAGGTTTATACAAGGTTGCATCCTTAAAATATAGAACTACAGATGTACCTCAAAAATCCATCGAAAAAGGTTATTTTAATGTTGAAAAACCTTGTGATTGATCATCTCAACATCGAGATGTATGACTATGAAAAATAAAAAGATTTTGAGTCTCAAAAATAGCATCTTACAACATATTATCTACACCGTCCATTATCAAGATTTTCATTTGTTTATGGACCTATTTGATTTTAACCATTTTTTAAATTTAAAATTTTATTATTAGATATAAAAATAAATTTTGAGATAATCCTAAGAACATTTTACATCAAAATTACATATTATGATAAAATTTGAAGGTGCACCTTAGTTGGATTGTTTAAGGCTGCAACCTTATGGAAACCACACCCTTTTAAATTTATTGAAATCCCCTCTTTTATATCTATTCTTTATATATTTTTTCTCCTTTTTTAAATTTATCTAACCTTTTTGTTCTCTAAGTGCCCATTTTATAAACATTTATTTTAATTTTTGTTTTAAATTTTTAATACTATTTTGTAATCACTCATTCGTATCATTCAAACAAGATTTGGATTGTCAACCCTCCTATACAGATAAGTAGGTGAACTATCACCCATTGAGCCGGGTTTTGAAACATGGACAAACCTTCTATGTTTCTCCTAGAGCATAAAAGTTCTATTCTCCCCCTTATCCAACCATCTATTTTGAATAGAGGGTTAAGTTTACCCCAATCACAATATCACGTCTCTACACTATTTTATTTTTAATTTTTTTTATAAATTATTTTAATACCAAATTTTTGAACGTCCATTCCTCAATTAAACTCTCACTAGCAAAAAATATATAAAAAATATTTTCAAGAAAATAAAATGATCAAAATACCTCTAAAAGTTTCAAAAGGTATTTTGATCATTATATTTTATCAAAAAATTATTTTTTAATATTTTTTATAGGTGCGCCCCAATGAAAGGATGGCACGTATCAAATTTCATATTCATATAATTTGTATAACAAAACTAAAAATAAAATACTTTGAGTGAGTGACTCTCTTCATCAAAATTGGACAACTAGATGGTAGGGGGAGGATAGAACTTCTATGCTGCAAGGGAAGCATAGAAACCTTTCCCTTGAAACATTAGTAGGTTGCAATGCATCTGGTTTAACCCCAAGCTTGTTCTTTATAAGGAGGAAGAGGATGAGAAAGGGAGAGCAATGGAACACAAGTAAAAGGCATTTTTCTAAGGGAAAGCTTTCTATGTTCCCCCTACAACATAGAAATATGATGTTCCCCTTATCCAACCGTCCATTTTTTACTGGAGGGCTAAGATTGCCCCAATCACAATGTCATATCTCCACATTATTTTATTTTTTATTTTTTTTATAAACTTTTTTTACACCAAATTTTGGATGTACATTCCTCTATTAAACTCGCACTAACGAAAAATATAAAAAAATATATATTTTTGATAGAATAAAATAACCAAAATACCCCTGAAAATTTCAAGGGGTATTTTGATCATTATCTTTTATCGAAAAATTATTGTTAATATTTTTTATAGGCGTGCCCTAATGAGAAGATGGCACATACCAAATTTCATATTCGGAAATTGTATTAAAAAAACTAAAAAGTAAAATACTTTGAAACGTCGGATCTAAGATCAAACGGTGAGTGGCTCTCTTGATAAAAAATGGACGGCTGGATGGTAGGGGGAACATAGAACTTCTATGTTGTAGGAGGAACATAGAAAGCTTCCCTTTTCTTATACCTCTAATTAACATCTTTATGTGTCTTTATGTCATTATACTAGGACTATTTGTCTCTTTTTTTTTTTCTTTTTCGTCAAAAATCGTTTTTTTATGACTACATTAGACATGGATTATCCATGAGAACTACTCATGCACCCCTTCATAAAACGTTTTTGTTTATTTTCTCCTTTTTCGAAATCTCATTTTTTAAAACTTCTGCAAAACACCAATATCAAGAATTCTCTCATTTTGCTTTCCTCCTTTTTAAAAAAAAAAAATCTCTCTTTTTTTCAAAAATACCAAATTCAAGAACTTTCTTTTTTTTTCTTTTTTTATTATAAAATCACCTAGTATTATTTTGATCGACACCCCCAAACATTTCTTTTCAAAAATACCCACATGAATTCCCAATTTTGCCTTTTTTTCATTTTATATTCCTAGGATAATCAAACCGTCGGCCCTAATATGAATGTTGATTTTTTGGAAAATGTGTAACTGCTATTACAACATAAAAACACTGTTTAAGTTTAATAAAACTCGAGGATGGAATACACATGAACAAGATAAATATACAAAACTCATAACTATCAAAATATTCATCAATCCTTTTTAGTTAGGACATTGGAGGAGATTGAATAAAAATATGATCTAGGAATTTCTATGCCAGCTATAGTAACTAGTCTAACAAATTCGGTTTGAGTTAAACAAAATGATTGTTATAAATGTAATATTAAATATATCATTCTCATAAATTTCTAGATTATTTCTTATATCCATTTTATAAATTTATACATCATTCTTTTTCTAGCTTTCTTTTTTACCTTGATGGCCGATTTGATCAACCTAGATTGATGACCCTATATCAGTGAGTGTATTGATGACCCTACATCAGTGAGTGTGTGATCCACCCTACCTATCTACTTTTTTAGTAGTAATAAAAGGTAATTGTTCTAAATTTAAAAATAATACGAAATGAGTTATTCTACATTTTAATAAGTTGTTCTAAACTTTAATGTGATTCACCCTACCAATCTATTTTTTTTAGTATTAATAAAAGGTAATTGTTCTAAATTTAAAAATAATAAAAAATGATTATTCTACATTTTAATACGTTGTTCTAAACTTTAATGTAAACGTTCGCCCGTTAAAAAATAGAGAGAAATAGTATGGTGTGATTTCTATAAGGTTGCAACCTTAAACGATCCAATTAAAGCACACTTCCAAATTTTATCATAATATATAATTTTGGTGTAAAATAATCTTAGGATTATCTAAAAATCTATTTTCATATCTAATTATAAAATTTTAAACTCCAAAAATAGTATAAACATATGAAAATCTTGAAAATTGACGGTCTAGACAATGTGTGTAAGATGCACTACTTCTTGCATTCAAAATCTTATTTTTTTTCATATTCTTATATCTCGATATCAAAAAGATCAATTAGGAGGTTTTTCAGCATTAAAACAACATTTTTCGATGGATTTTTGAGGTGCAT